GGACAGGGCATGTGACCTGCCAGCATGGCCCAGCTCACCCCCCACCCCAGCACGGCCCAGCTCACACCCCGGCACGGCCCAGCTCAGCCCCCGGCACGGCCCAGCTCAACCCCCGGCACGGCCCAGCTCAGCCCCGGCACGGCCCCTCACCCTGCCTGATAGCAGTTCCCAGAGCCTTTTGAGAGCACCCTTCCCTCACAGCCCCTGACGCTGACCAAGTGGTAGGTCCCAGAGAAACAGCAGAGGCCCCAGAGGCCCAGGGAAGGGCCGAAGACCCCGTGAAGGGTCTGGGGGGGACACGGGCAGGGGGCGTGGGAGCTGCCAGGGTGCAGCGCAGGAGGGGCCACGGTGCTCAGGCTGAGATTCCGCCGCGGGCAGCCCGTCTCCCAAGGGAGGCCTGGGAGTGACCTGGGTCGGGGCAGCCCCCCAGCCCACACCGACCACGGAGCTTACAGGTGGGACTCGGTGCTGCGTGTGTCTTGGAGACACAGAGTGTTTCTCTGAACGTGTCGCTCGTGTTTAGGAGGTTATGGCCCACTCGGGGAGGGAGGCGCTTGGTCAAAGGACATGCCCTCTCGTGCACGTGTGCCGTGCAGAGCTGTCTGCGCTGCTTGTCTAACCAGCACCTGTGCGCACATGGCCCCACCTGCCGCACGACCCACAGCCCGCACACGGTCCCAGGAGGGTGGTGCACAGGGACACGCGGGACCCAGGCATGGTGGGGCAGCAGGGGAGAGAAGCCGGGGTCCTCTGACCAGCCTGATACCTCAGGAACGTGAGCAGAAGAAGAACATGCGTGTGCACGAGAAGATGACCTCCTCCTCCAGGGTGTCCACCAAGCATACCAACCTGCGGAGAGAGCTGAAGCTGGAGGATGAGGCCCAGGACCAGGAGCTGTTGGCCGAGGCCGAGCGGCTGCGTGCCTTCCATGACAACACGGCCTGGAAGCTCACCGTGACCAGAGGTGCCGCCCCCGCCCACAGCCTGTGCGGCCATGCCCAGTCCCTATTCTCTGGTGGGCCTTGGGCCACTGTGCTGCTGCCAGCGTGGAAGGGACATGCTTGGAGAGGGTAGTTGTCCCTGTGCCCGCCTCCTACCCGCCGTCCCACGGCTGGAACCCCGGGACCAGCTCTGCCGAGGGCACCCGAATCCGGGTCCGCGATGCCGGGCGTGTTCTTTCCTCCTTTAGCTTCTTTCTTTCTGCCTAAGAGAGCACGGCGCCCCCAGCAGGGCCCTCACATGACCGGCAGCCTCAGGGGCCTGCCTCGGGCACATGCACAGGAGTCTCAAGGGCTTGGACCTGGGGTGGGGACAGGCGCCTCCCGTGTGCTTCTACCGCAGGGGTCGCTCCGGCACCAGCTGCCTGGTGTGCTGCGTGCTGAGGACGCAGGTGTGACGTGTGGACACAGGCCATCTAGCTGAGTGGTCGAGAGCATCCCTCTAGTGCTCCTGGTTCGGACCATGGCCTTTAACCCCGAGGGCCAAGGCCGAGTCACTTGACCCCTTTAAGCTCCGCCCCCTCTCCCAGATGGCAGCAGCACACACTGACCACAGCAAGAAGCCTGGGGAGGGTGGGTGTGCAGGCACCTGCGCTGTGGGGGTCTTATTTATTTTTAGTTTACTACACAGCGTGTGAGGGAGTGAGAAAGGGAGGGAGAGCGAGACAGAGAGGGAAAGGGAAAAATCCCCCGCATGGAGATGGCCACGCCACAGTCTCTTCTCCTCCATTCTCTTGGGATTTGGGGCACACGCACGTGCCCAGTGTGAGTTTTAGCCGCTGGTCTCGGACTAGAACTGCAGTCGACTACGTGGAAGCCCAGCAACATAACCATTACGCCATCTGCTAGCCCCAGTGTGATTGGCAAGCCCCTGGGTCTGGGACCTAGCACCTTTACCTCCCTGCCAGGTGCCGGCCAGGAGGAGATCTTGAACACGTGTCCAGTACACAAAGTCTGCAGAGAGGCGCCAGGACCGAGACTGAGTGCAGCGGGTGGCAGGTTCTCCCCATAGGACTGTAAAACACAAAGGGCCAGCCTGCTCTGTGCGGAACCCCGAGCTAGCCAGACGTTGGCTTTTTCAGATATTTTTGCTATAGGGTGGGTGTGTGCTTGCCGGAGAGACAGAAAGAGAGAATGAGCCCCCGGGGGGATGGCCACACCACAATCCCTTCTCCATTCTCCTCCTGGGACCTTGGGCACACATGCACGCACGCACACCAGACGTGAGTTTTAAGCCACCGGGTCTGGGACTCTAACCGTGGCTGACTAGGTGGGAGTCCAGTGACGCAACCATTACGCCATCTGCTGGTGCTGCTAGCCGGATGTGTTGCACGTGGCCCAGCAGCACCAGGGAACAGCCCTGCAGGTGTCCGATTCTGCTCCCCATTCCGTTCCTAAGGCCAGAGAGAGGCTGTGCACAGCGACTCCTGTTGGCCTGCCTCATTCCCAGCAAGGAGTTGAGTCTTCTAGAGGGGCAGGGACATCTCTGAGGCTTCCCCAGGCCTAGCCAGGCTTCTGGGAGCCTCTGGGGTCACAGAACACAATACACACCAGCCACCCAGCCCCTCCTGTGGAGGGAGGGTTGGGAGGGTGAGGCTAGAGAACCACGTGGTTGCAAGGTCCTCGCCGACGTCAGGGCACCCAGGGAGAGCCCCGCAGCCCCTGGCCCTGTCCGCGCTGCCCCTGTTCACCCTCCTGAGCAGATACTCAGGAGCCCACCTCCAGTTCCTCCTGCCTGCGTTCAACCTTGGCAGTGTGGCCTTAGCAGCTGCGCCAGCGAAACTCCAAGGGTCTAGGGCACCTCATTCCCTCTCCTCCCCCATTCAGATCCTAGCTAGGTGGTCCTCCATCCAGTCCAGCGGGTGAAATATCCAGGGTAGGGCGTCCAAGGCCTCATTCTAAGCAGGAAGGGTGCTACTGCGAGAGCCGCAGGTCAGAGGGTGGGGAATCCGCTCCACTCTGGGCACCTTCCCTCCCTCTGCTGCAGACAGAGGACAAGAAAGCGGCGCCTCGCTGCCGCCACTGGCCTGGGCATTGCCACAGGTGCTGCCCGGGAGCTGGCCGCCACGGCCGTCCCTGGCAAGGTGGGCCTGTCTGCGCCCACTCACGTGCCTCTGGTTGCAGACAAGAAGGTGAGGTCTGACAGCACACGGAGCTACGTTGACCAGAAGCGCCAGATGTTCCTCATCCAGGTAGGCCTGGCCATGCCGGTGCCAGGGCCGCCCAGGGTCCGGCTGCAGGGCGTGACCCCACGCTGCTGGCCCTCAGCATGCCCTGGACATGAAGCGGAATGAGATCCAGAGGCTGGAAATGCTGGCCAGCCAGGAAGAGGCCAAGCTGGAGCGGGCTGAGAAGGCGCTGGAGAGGGATGCTGCCCTGTTCGACGAGTTTCTCCGGGAGAACGACCGCAGCTCCGTGCAGGCCATGCGAGTGTGAGCCACCGGCCCGCATCCCCGGGGCCTCTGTGCCAAGCCCCGGCCTGCCCCACCCTGCCACCGGCCCGCGTCCCCGGGGCCTCTGTGCTGTGCCCTGGCCTGGCCTAAGCCCAGACCCTGAGCACCCCCACCCCTAGCCAGTCCAGACTGCCCCTGCCCCAGCCAGGCCGTGCCAGCCCCTGGAGTGCCTGAAGCAGGCCCAGAGCACTGCCTCTCTTTCCTCATCTCTGACCCCTGCCCACCCGGGCACCCCAGGGCTGAGAAGGAGACCAAAGCCAAGGTGGAGAAGATCATCGAGATCCGGGACCTCTCTTCCCAGATCATGAATATCAAGAGGTGAGGGCAGGGGCCAGGCCAGCAGGCTGCCCTGCACCAGACCCCAGCCCTGCAGCCACCCATGGCCACGGGGAGCCCAGCCACCTAACCTCCCAGGGACTCGGCCAGTGGGAGGCTGTTGTCCGCTCACACATGGGGACTGAGACTCCGTGATGTCCCCACGGCCACGCCATCGGGAGCCTGGGAGGGGGCAGACGGTGCCCAGGGTGGAGGGACCATGCAGTCCAGGAGAGCTGTGATGTGGGTCCCTCCAGGAGCGCAAGGGCACCCGGGGAGCCAGAGGGGAGGGACGGGCCTGGCTGGGGCCTTGCCATGGCCACGCCTGACCACCTCGTCCCCCCACCAGTGATATCTCCAAATTTGAGGACACTCTGGAGCACTACAAGGTCTACCAGGAGTTCCTGTACAAGCTGTCACCCAAGGAGTGGTTCGAAGAACAGGAGAAGCGCTTGGCTCTCAGAAAGGCCAAGGAGGTGCCCGAGGCTCCCTTGGAGAGCAGCGTGGACAAAGGTAGCAGAAGTGGGGGTCCCGGCTGGCTTGGCAGGGATCCACAGAGACCCGGGGTGGGGGGCGGCTGGCGTCCAGCCCTTCGTGGCCTGCCCGCCCAGGGACTGTAGTGTGATGTCCCGCTGGGCTGCGGCGTTCCCTAGAGTGGCTGAGACTCTCAGCGCTCCGAGCACTGCCTTCTGGGCGGGAGGCGGCGAGTCCTGCTCGGGCTCGGTTCCATCTGGGACCCCCTCTTCCACTTCCTGTAGGCACAGAGGCCAAGGACAAGGCGGGCCCCCCATGGTCCAGAGGTACATAGCTGCCCCAGGGCCCGGCGGCGCCCAGGCCAGGATGCGTGGAAACCTCCCCTCTGCCTCCCCCAGAGACTCCAGGCACAAAGAAGCCCGCCAAGCCCCCACAGGCCATGAGGCCGAAGCAGGCCACAGCCCCCAGTGGCAGGAAACCGCAGCCACCCGGCC